TATTGTATTATATGTTTTTTATATATATATAAAAATAAGTGTGTATAATCAGAAAGGGTTGTGTCCATTTTTGAGAGGTTGTCTTGCAACCTACAGAACTTGCAGAATTGAAGACATTGAGTAAAAGAGTAGCATCTTGTATGGGGAAAAGCGCTAAAGAGAACTTAGAGCAAAGTTTTTAAGCATCCATTTATTTTTGTGGAAGCATTCCTGATACTAGACCAGGTGATGTATGATATATTTGTCTGATAGGCTCTTTTTTCTTTTTTTTCCCCCTAGAGGACTCCCAACATTGTAAACATGATTTGCTCCTTTTTGGCAGGGTTGCATGGCACACGTCAAGAGGAAATGATTGATCACAGGCTAACAGACAGAGAATGGGCAGAAGAGTGGAAACACCTTGACCATGTAAGGGCTAAATGTACTCATGTATAATTGTCTGAAGGGACCCTGTCTAAGATAGGAATTTAAACTTTTTCTTTTAAAACAACTCTGAACCCCTGGACAAGTTTTGAAAATGTTGGTGATTAAATCTAGGGGCTTGATGTTCCACATTAGGTAGCTCATATCAGCCCTTGCTGTTAAGTGCCTATTGCAGTATGCTAATTATTACAGGCTGCTAAAAGGTAAGTAGACTCTTGTCTGTAAACCCTGGATCTGGGACACATGACCCTCGCCCTTAGTACTGGTTAATTGGATTTGTTCTTTGAATCTACTAGTGCTCATAACATTCTGCCCAGAGAGGTGGTGGAGTCACCATCCCTGGAGGTGTTCAAGAAAACGTGTAGACGTGGCACTTTGGGACATGGTTTAGTAGGCATGGTGGTGTTGGGTTGACAGTTGGACTGATGATCTTAGAGGTCCTTTCCAACCTTCATGATTCCTAGTTTTACTTTCATTAAAAAATAATCCAGCCACCAAGCCAGCAAACTGGAAATTAATTATTACTCTATCCTTAATTGGTTTAGTGGTGGGCTTGGTAGTGTTAGGTTAATGGTTGGACTTGATGATCTTAAAGGTCTTTTCCAACCTAAACGATTCTATGATTCTATGATTTGTAGGCATCAGTTCTGGACCAGATCTCTTGGCCTCCATGGTACCATGTGATACTAGTGGTGGGACTACAGTCCTTTCAGTCTTTTCCTCCTCTTCTTCTTCCTTTCCCCCAGAAATCCATATCTGTACGGTTTGGGATCACATCACCAGTTAAACAGGAAGGGATTGTCATTCTTAAAAAAAAAAAAATAGTATTTGAAATAACAGGGAGAGGCTCCTTCATTCTTAAAATCCAGGCACTCAGCACATTAGTGTTTTCTTTGTTTTTCTGTCAGCTTATGAATAAAATGTTCTTTTTTCTTTCTCTGCTCCATCCACTGCTGTGAATAGCTGTTAAACTGTATAATGGACATGGTGGAAAAAACTAGGCGATCTCTCACTGTACTACGGCGATGTCAAGAAGCAGACCGTGAGGAGCTTAATTACTGGATAAGGCGGTACAGTGATGCGGAAGATTTAAAAAAAGGTGGTAACAGCAGCAGTAGTCATTCCAGACAGCAGAGTCCAGTGAATCCAGATCCGGTTACATTAGGTACGGTATCCTCATTAAAAATTGTTTTCTGGTCCTCTTCCAGCTCAGCTAAATGCTAGATGAAGTTCCTATTTGTTATTCTGATTCTTCTTCCGTGATAGTGATGAAATACTCCTCTCTGCTGACTACTGAATTAACTATAACTCTTATGCCCTTATGTGTGGAATGGCTTGGGTTTTTGGGTGGTGCATGGTAATTTGCTTTCCATTCAGCAATGTCTGAGAGTGGTGGGGCGGGAGGACAGACTGTCATGTAGGTAGGGATGGCAGAGTGGTGATATGTGCACTGACTCTGTCCCTTCCATCTCCCTCCCTTGCCTGCTTGATTAAGGAAATATGTAGGTCCATCTGGATTGTTAGCACTGTGAAACCAAGGGCTTTCACCTTCTTGAATCAAATTATTTAACTTGGAAGTTGTCTTTCTAAGGAAATGAAGAGACATAAAAAGATATGGGCAATTCTTAGCTGTACTTGGTTTCCGTATAAGAAAGAAATGACATCTGGGATGCCCACAGCCATGCACGCATGATCCTCCTAGGTCTGTGTCCACCGCTGCAGCTCACATAGGTGTGTCTGAGCTAGTTTGGGTACTACTCGCTGTGTAGTTACAGGGAACCGCTCAGAGCTCGGCTCAAGCTGCAAAGCCCACTTACAGGGGGCAGACCAAGCAGTTGGACTTTCACCCTCTGCAGACCTTCACAGTCACACTCACATGACACCTCACACAGCTACTCCAAGATGACTCTGCTGTATAAAAACAAGCTCCTATTTTGTGGGCTTTCTGTAATGTATTAATATGTTGGCCTGCTTCTACCCATCCCCTCACTTCTACGGTAGGTGTGGTAAAGAAACACATCTTGGTGATGCCTTTTTATTGTTCTCTGCTCTTTTGAGGAGAACAGCAAACTGTGATTGCTTGTCTAATATTTATCTTTCAAAAAATAAATTGTCCATATCGAATGTCATCTACTCAATCATCATGAACTGTGGTCATTACTAGAACTGCATATGTGTGCTATTTTGCAACTATATTTTATTTAAAGGTGTGTTCTCCTTTTGCCGTTAAGAATAACTTATTAAATCTAAAACTGAATTGCAAATAGAAAAACAATAAAACAAATCTAATGCCCTCTCCCTCTTCCTCTTGGTAAATCTCTATAGAGTTCTTGACTGTAATATTTAGTGGCTCTTGATATAAAACAAACCTGGGTTTGTATGTGTGTCAAATGATCTGAGCCAATAGCTCTATAAATTAGCTTCAGTCAATGAAAGGAAGGATTATGGCAATGCTGTTCCCAGCTTCACTAATAAGTGTAGTCCATAGAGAGGCCCTTCTCAGAAAGCAGCATTCAGGTAACGGCTTGTACGAATTGTGTTAAATGTAATGTAAAGAAAGTCTCACAAAAATGGCATCTGAAATGTCAATCACATCTGCAGCTTTGGGAAAAACACTTGTGAGGAAACCCCTAGATCAAAAGCAGTGGCACCCATCTCTAGTAAAGCTATGATGCAAAAAGAGCCAGGCCATGGTGTTTGTAAGTATAGTTAGTAGGTAAAAAAAAAAAAGAAAGGAAACTGAGATTTTTATAATTTCCCCAAAGAAACTGAACTCAAGACATTCATCAAAACTTTATAGATAATAGTACAATCCAAGAAAAATAGTCATAACCACAACAGCAGCAACAAAAGATAAAATTAAGTTCAAACATATAATTAGATCCCTATATTATCATGTTGTTTCTGTTATTTGTCAAGATGAGTTCTTGGAAACAGCAAAGTCTGTTTGCTTAAAAAGACATTATATGGCACAGCCTTTGGCATTGAACACATCAGTCACCTCTGCAGTACTATGGGTACAACTGAACTGGTTGGAGTGAGTCCATTTCAATTTTAACATGTCCATTTTGGTTATTTGTCTTCAAAAATGACTTCCGAGACTCATGGACATGAAACTTGGATCACTTCAATGATGTAGCATCCATGTCAATCGTAAATATTAATAAGAAGTTCTTTTATGTCTGACATGTAAGGCAAAAAATACTTACTTTGGAGTCTATGCAAAGGTAATCCTTATATTTCATCAAATCTGGTAGTAATCTAGTTAACAAAATGAAAACTCCTAACATTCAGCGGTACAATAAAATTGAAGCAGTGTCGTTGAGCCTTGAGATGCTGTCCTGTTTAAGGCTTTTTATTTTAGTTTTGAAGTGAGGAGGAAGGGGTTGAAAAATTCTTCCAATATTTTAATTAAAGTTCCACAACATGTAAATATTGGGTTTTGCTGCAGGGATTCTAAATGTCAGTGATTCCCCTTTGTACTTTTTTTTCAAACGAGGTAATCCACCCTTTAAATCCATCTTGTCATCTCCACTAGTAAGAGGAAAAAAAAAGGGGGCCATATGGCTACATTGTCTGTGCCTTTGTTTCTTTTTCTTTACAATTAAAATATCATCACTGAAGTGATGAGTTCTCACTATAACCATTATGCCATGGTCTTCATAGATAGCTCTCACTGAAAAACTCTGAGCTGAAATTTAGCATAGGTAGTTTGAGTCCAAAAGAAATTGAAGAAAATTCTGGTCATCATTTTGAGCCAGCAGACCTTTTTTTCTGCCAAAGATTTTTGTGCTTCTTTTAATTTGACATCCCTGTAAATCCTGTTGAGCTTGACAGTTCACAGTATCTGATCGATATTTTTCTGTTGATATTTTTAATTAAGAAATCAAATGAAATGTTTGATAATTCATTTTAGTGCAGTGTAATCCAATACATGGGTTAGCCGGATTCAACAGGTTACAAGCTCTCGTTATTTTCCGAGAGTGTGTTGAAGGTAAGATGGGTCCATTCTTTTCAGTCTGAATAATGCATGTTTATGAAAGTCTAAAAATGACTCAGACTTTATATATATTCACTTGATGAACTGTGATGGTCTGTGAAGTGAATAATACATCATCCGACTCCTCCATTTCTGCTGAAGAATTTCGGTGCTACATACTGCAGCAGGACTGCAACTTTCATCCTAATAGTGAATAATTACACATATCAGACAATGTATACTGAAATACACACAGTTGGATAAATTAAAGATGAGGGTTCTTCAACATCGTGGGTTATAAACAAGATCTATAACCTTACTGAGTGCAGCTGTGGCTCTAGATAAGTGGTGTAGGCACACATCAGAAGGTCTGCAGCGATGTTGATATTTTGTGTCTGTTGAATTTATTGGAATGGAAATCTTACAAAACAGAGTTTGAAATCTCTAACTGAAGAGTGCCAATACTTGCAGGATTTGCCCCAGGAAGCCAGGATTCTCAGAAGTGTATGAATTTGTCAAAAACACACAAGTTAGCCATTTCTTAATACTTTTTAAAGTGTTAACCCTTTCAGATCTAGTTTGTATTTTATCAAAGATTGTTCACCCCC